TGCTAGAAAATAATGGAATGCAGGACTTAATTTAATGATAAAATGCAACAAACTATACACCAATCAGATATCACTTATTTTACAGCATCACTTCCTGTAGCGATTTTTGTATATACCTCTTATTTCTTGCACACTTTAAATGCTTGTCCCTTCTGTTATTACAGCTCCTAGTCTTCAAATTTTGAATTTGAAAATGGAACAAGAAATTACTATACTGTATTAATTCTGAAAGTAAGATTGGGGACTAGCATTCCTTATATTTTTCAGGACATTTCTATTCCAATATTAGTTTTATATAAATATGAGCATCCAATATTTAATACAGTAAATACTACCAACAACATAATGTCAATGAGTGAATAACATGTAGCAGTAGTGTCTTGACATAAGTTAATATTTAAAGGGTTAACTATATATCTCTATGAGCCCATGTGACCAAATTGGTTTTTATTATATTGTTTAAACCTGCACTACCTTATAATATAGTTATGCAATTTAAGTATTTGATGAAAATTATTCAAAATCTGTGCACATTTAAGTTATGTATTAACTAATTACAATGCAATGATTTTCCACCTTAGAATAAATAATATTTATCTTTAGCTATACCGAATGTAAAGGAGACATATTTATTTGTTTATTTTAAGCGTTTAATCTAAGCATTTGCAGAAATTGCTCCAATTTTAAAAAATAAGCTGTGTTAATAAAAAATATTCTTTCATTCTTGTCTATTACTGCATTTTTTTTCTTTTTCTTTTCTTTTTTTTACGTTGTGAACTGCCCACAATCATTGGGAGTTGGGTGGTATATACATTTCATAAATAAAACAAACCCGCAATGAAATTCACCAGGTAGCCTTAATATGTGACTATGATTTTTAGCATCCCTCTTTTTTATTCCCAGGTGTGCTCTTTCTTACATACAGCTTCTGGGAAGATACATAATGGGAAAGTATTCCATCACCTGCTTAGAGTCTGAAGTGGTAACATCCAGCATTTTCCCCCTTCATGCACTTTTCCTTCTTGATTCTGCAAATATTATGGGAATCTGAGAAGCTACCTTACATCTAGTCAGATGACTGAACTGTCCAGCTCAGTATTGCATATACTGATCAGCAGTAGCTCTCCAGATTTCAGAGTTGAATTCCTTAGCCTTATCTGAACCAACTCCCATACAGTAATTCTCAGCCAGCAAGACAAAAGATTCAGGTCTCATTTATGCTCTTCATCTACACAGAAAGCCTTATCTTGCCTTATTTTACTTTAATTGGCTATGAATAAAGCTTAAAGCATTTGCAGATGTTAATGGTAGCGTTCTTAATTCCAAAGTTTTATAAGCAGCCATAAAAGGATAAATAAAAAGTAAATATCAAAATGGCAAATACACACACACACACATATTAAATATATTATGGAAGAACTAGATCTGCATTTGTGAATTACCTTGCCTTTTTAAAGGGGCCCTAAGATAGTCTTCAAACAGAAATACTTTCATTAAATGCCTGAAACTACAGTCTGATTTACAGTAATTTTGCAAGATTCTCAGCTTGCTTTGTCTTGCATAAACACACTTGTATCTATAGTAAAGTGCATTTAGAGTGCAGCCAAATAAAAAGCTACTTTCCCACCAACATATTATTGCTATGTCAATGAAAGATGTAGTGAATTGATTGCAAACTAACTGCACATTATACACTTTTTTAATGGATACAAAAAATACAGAAAGTGCATTATATTGCTCTAAGTGTTTCTTGGGATTAATTATACTATTGGTCATTGATGAACTATTACTTACATTGTCTCAAAGTATAAGCAACCTGAATAATAAGCTATACATGTAATTCTTTTTATGCATTATGTGAATTCCAAAAAATACAGCAATTTCAGCACAAATGTATTTACTTGCAATATCCTGTAGCTGGAAAACTGTTGGAGAAATAGGACATCACCTACAGGAATTATCTGTAGTAACAACATCCTTACAAAAAAGTGTACATGTCTATATTATACATCAATAATACTGATACAATCTTTACTATAATAAGGTACAAGTTATATCTGTTTGGTATGTGACAACAATGAATTTTCTCATGTTGCTATTCATTTCCTCATCACATGTTTAGAACGTCATTAGGTTAAGCATTTTTTATTAAATCATAAACATTGTATAAATGGCTATTAAATCTTGCACTTTTAAGTAAAGCACTCATCAAGTACTGTGGCTCACGCTACTAAGTGAGCAACCTGATCACTGTAAATACAGTCCAAAATACAATGACTTACTGTTGCTGCACAAGAATGTGGCTCCTTCCCACACAATAATATTAATCTAAGTGTGCATTTTTTTCTTACTTCCAATAACAACCGTTCTTTTTTAGAAAGAAGAAATCAAGGTTATTAAATTTAAAATTGCACGGGGAAGTTTATTTGGGGGAGTGAATACACCCTGGCAGCCAGAAATTCTGTAAATTTCAATAACCCAATTGCTCATTTAAAAAAAAGAAAAAGGACAGAGAGAAAAAGAGGACGGACAACTTGGCATGCAGGCCTCCAGCCACAAGAAGCCTGCCGTTTTGTGCTTCATAAGGTCACCCTGTGGTGAAGCTGTGATGTTATCAATATTCATGCTTTAAAGTATTCTGATATGTTTGTAAAACATCTCCATTCTCTGAATTAATCTTACAGTGACTGACCAAAATAGCTGTTTTGTGATGAAATGCTGCCTATTTAATCTTGGCAATAAAAAGTCAAGGCCAGTCAGTGAAATACCAGAATGTTAGTACTTGCCATGCAAATCCCATCTCAAACTAAAGTAATTATGCCATTCCCAGGATATAACACATCGCTTAATTTTGAGCATGATGAATCCGTGAAGATATCTGAAGCCACATGAATCTTATCTTTAAATGAAATAATAGATATTTTCTTGTACGGTTCTCTTTAAGGTTGCTCTCCAGGCAAACACATGCCATTTATTTAAGGCTACTGACACTTTTTTACATTAGTGCAAATAGGCAACACTTAAATTCATCATAATATTCAAGCCTTTGAAAAAATTGCTGGAAATATAATGTACCAAATGCACCTACCAACATTTTTGCAATATTTCTTTAAATATTAACTATGCCACAGAAATAAATAGTTTCCATGGTAAAGGAAATTAAGTTTAAATTTTATATTCTCCAGTCCAGATAATCAAACCATTTCACTTTTGTGGAAAATTCAAGATTGCAATGGCCTAAGAACTTTAAAAAGAAAGAAGCATAATGGCTTAGTTCCAAAACAAGTATTGACCTTTATAACATCATCTCAATCACAGTATGTCTACTAGTAAAGTTATAATGACTTTTATAGCCTGGTAGTAAATTATTGATTATCGACAGAATATATCCACTATCAGTGGCTATACTTCTAGAATCCAATACCTCTAACTCACTGTGACTGTAATGCGCAGCTCCATTTTTAATGTAACGAGTAGCCCATTTACATTTAAGATTTAAACTTTTCAGTAAGCCATTTCTCGATTTGCAGTGTTCAATATTAGCAGAGCTTGTATAGCACAATCACAAGATCTTTTTTCCCAGAGAAAACTCAACTGCCAGCCTTATCTGTCCTGCAAATTTTGACAGAATGCATAATGTTCAGACAAAAAGCTATCTAAAGATAGACAGGTAGACAGACAGATAGATTTACACATATAAATTGTCAATAAGGATATGCCCACAACTCCTAAACATGCCATTGAGAGACAAAACTACAAATACTTTTTCAGCAAACCAACTTCATCATTACCCCAATTACACTAATGTCTGTATATCAAAATAACTATAGCTTCTGAACTGCTTCCTTGCAAAAAGAGAATAGACCTGTTATACAGCAATCAGTGGTGACTTAAGACACGGGTAATAGGAATGTTAAACTATTGTATGTTGTGCTTCTTTAAACTCAGAACATAAATAGCCATTTAACCATACGATGTACTTACTTCCTCCTAGAGGCACACACAAAAGGTTAAGCTGTAAAGGCTATAATCAACAGGAAAGCTGGCACAGACTGAAGTGGCACCCAGCAGTGGCAAAAAGTACCTGAGATGCACAAACAACACCCACACACGCAGATCAAGGCTAACTCACAGCAATGCATTACAGTAATTATAGAGCGAAAGGGAATGAGCTAAGGGGAAATGCCCATATGCTAAATGCCATCAGTTGCAATTACTGTACTGGAGGCATTCTCGACTGTGAACGGCTGGCCCTGGGAATGACGACGAGAGGGAAGAAATTTCCACCTGGAGTCGTTAATGATATTTCTAGAAACGGTGTCTGACTGCTGCCAGATGTTTCTTGGAAATGCAGCAATTTCTATATTTATAGACCCAGGAGCGATCCAGGTGAAGACGGGGGTCAGACTGGGGAGCAGAACTAAGCCGCAAAAAGGGGGACAATGACTCGGGAAGCAGAAGGCGGAACAGGCGGGCGGGCGGGCAGGCGGATGGGCGCCCGGCAGGGCAAAGCCAAGGTGCTCCCAAGGAAAGAAGGGAGAACGGGAGGACACAAACGCGGGGGCGGGGAGAGGAGACCTGGGGAACTTGCCCCGAAAGAAGACGGAGAAAGAGGTGAATAGTTCAGAGGGTGGCGGGAGGAGGGCAGAACTGAAGAGGAAAAATGCAAATAAAAAGAGTGGGTGCAGAGGAAAAAAACCGAGGGGTGCAGTAGCCGAACGCAGCCCCCAGAAAGGTAGTTTTGAAGGACAGCATGAAGAATATCACCGCAAACGAAAATATAGCATGGAATAACGCTCCATCATTTCAACCTTCTTAATATTATTACTGCGCCTTTATTACCCGCAAGAATACTAGAATAACAACAGCCGAAAGCATTCCGAACGGGGCGCGTCCCAGGACTGGGAGAGTCCAATCCCGCGGCTCTTTTCAGAACTCCGGCACCAGAAGTGGAAATCCGGAGGAAACGGAGCGCTCTCAACGCGGACAGCCAGCCTTACCAAAGGGAATCCAGGTCCCATTCCTGCAGGAGCGCGAAATCGAAGCTGTCCATGGTGAAGCCGAGGGAGGAGGAATATGTCAGCGCCGCTCAGCCGCAACCGCGCGGCGGCCACGGTGCATCT